CAGAGGGCTGCCAGCTGTGGGAGGGGGACAGCCCTGCTGCTGCTCCATCTCTCAGCCAGGGGCTGTGGGGCAGGAGGGCTGTGGTCTCACAGCAGCCACCCCTGCAGGAACATCCCAGGAGCTGCAGGAACATCCCAGGAGCTGCAGGCACAGCCCAGGAGCTGCAGGAACGGCCCAGGAGCTGCAGGAACAGCCAGTGCCATGCAGGAACAGCCCATGCCATGCAGGCACAGCCCATGCCATGCAGACACAGCCCATGCCATGCAGGAACAGCCCATACCACACCAGAGCCATGCAGGCACAGCCCAGCCCACCCAGCCCTGGCCCCAGGGCTGCTCCAGAGCAGTGCTGCTGCCCAGCCTTGCAGCTACACTCCCCAAAACAGCCAGCTCTGATTTCTTTGGAAGCAAAACCAAAACCAGGCTTTGTTTCCCCCAGGTGAGGTGTTCACAGGCTGGCACCTTCCAACACAAGCAGCTGCAGAGCCCTCGTCCCACCCCACTGAGCTCTGCCCACCTCAGTCTGCCTTCGGGCAGGGCTTGGCACTGAAGTGCCAGGGGCAGAAAGAGAAATAAAACCCAAATAAAAGAGAAAACACAACAGCCAGTGGATGGGAAGGATGGAGACTCGCCCTCCACAGCCCCTCAGTGCAAGGGGGACCCTTTGAACAGCTCAACAACTGCAGCCACCCAAGGGGGGAGCACACAGGTGACCACACCCTGCTGCAGAGACACCAGGACTTGCATCAAAGAAGGTGACACCTGTTATTTACAAGGAACCTCAGCTGGGACTCCAGCTCTGGGCTGCCAGCTCCCAGGACAGAAAGGCTGGAGATGAATCCTCCAGCCTCATCCCGAACATAGTGCCTTGAAAAGCCACCAAGGGATCTTCACACACTTCTATGCTTTCATTTTCCAGCTCAAGCTGCTCTTGAGACAGCAACATTGAAATCGTCTTGGATGTGAATGTAGGTTTGGAAAAAGTGAGAGATTAATCTAATCAAAGCAGTTTTGAAGCTCTGCTATCTCAATATCCATGGCTTAGTTGTTAATAAGGAAAACCCTCCCTAAAAGCAAATTATCAAAGAACCCAGCCCTCAGTGCTGGCTCCTGGCCGCTGTGAGCCCCAGACAAGCAATATTTAAGTGGGGATGAGGATGATCTGGGTGCTCAGTGTCAGCTGAGCACGATGGGGATGAGAAGCCTGCGCTGGGGATCCCGGTGTGTGGCACAGGTCCCCCTGCTCAGGGAGCTCACAGGTAACAAACCAGCCCTGAGGTAACACAGGAGCACCCAGGGCTGTGGAGAAGCTCAGGGCTGAGCTGGGGGAGCCCAGAGCCCCCCTGCCCACAGAGCTGAGGCTGTGGCAGCTGAGAGGACACGTGTCCCCTCTGGGGTCCCCACAGCAGCGGGGGCTTCCAGCCTCCAGCAGCACCGAGCTGCAGGGAGCCTCGGCTGGGGCTGCAGCCCCTCCTCTTCCCTTCAGGAAATAAAGCAGCCAAAGCATCCCTGGGCAGGGCTCAGGGACCAACAGCCCCGACACCACCAGAGCTCTGTTCCTGCTGGCAACAGCCCCCATCTGACACGTGGGAGTCTCAGCAGTCACAACTGCAGCCCTCGTCCTCAGCTGACTCCTCCTGGTGTGAAGAAATAGAGATGTACACAGCAAAGCTCCCGGGAGCCCCGTGGCAGTGCAGTCAGTTCTAAACCAAGCAGCATCCGTGACTCCCCTGCACCAGCGGAACGCTCCCGCAGCTCCGGCTGAACGGGTCCCACAGGGAAGCGTGACCGAGGCTTTTCCTCGATTTTCTACCCCAGCACTCTGCTCAATGCCTGGGAATCGCTACCAGCTCTGTGCACGGGCTGTCAGCACAGGGAGCCTTTGTTAATCCTGCTCTCACTCCCACAGCCCCACGGGAGACAGCGCTGCTCTGACAGGTAACAGAGGATGGGTTTTCCACCTGGCTCACGGCTCTTTCTCCAGCAGAGAGCGGATGGAAGTGTTACAAAACACCACTTTTCTCTTTCTTCTGCACATTTCCAGCCTGTCAATCTACAGAAGACTCAGCACCAGCAAAGGAAAAGCCTCCTCAGAGCCGGCCCTTCTCTGGCTCTTCAAAGGGAGCAGAGCTGACGGAAAAGCCACTGACCGTGGCCAGTAATTAAGGCAAAATCCTTTCTTCAAACACTCCTTGGAGCAGCAGGTGTGGGTGGAGGAGCCAGCTGGATCCCTGCACGCAGAGCTGCTCTTGCTGTGTCCCCCAGCGCAGCCCTGCCCCGGCAGGACCCGGGCAGGCACCGCAGAGAGGATGCTAATTACAAGTTTGAAGCAATCAGGGTTCAGAACTGGCTGAGATTTCACTCGGCAGATAAAGCACCGCTGTCCTGGGCACTCGCTGTATCTAGGTCAGGCCATTCGTTTTGCTCTTAATCTACACACAGTTTTAATTTCATCTTTAATGTCGACTTCCAGCCAGTGAGCTGAGCCAGCAGATGACTTTTGTCTCTGCCTGCACTCAACATCTCGACCCCTCGTGAAGCCACAGGGAGGGAGAACAAGCAGCACCATCATCCCCACGTGCTCAGAATGTGCCCTGTGCCTGTGCTCTGTGCCTGTGCTCAGACTGTGCTCTGTGCCTGTGCTCAGACTGTGCTCAGACTGTGCTCTGTGCCTGTGCTCAGACTGTGCTCAGTGAGTGTCTGTGCTCAGACTGTGCTCAGTGAGTGCCTGTTATCTGTGCCTGTGCTCAGACTGTGCTCAGTGAGTGTCTGTGCTCTGTGCCTGTGCCCTGTGCCTGTGCTCAGACTGTGCTCAGTGAGTGTCTGTGCTCAGACTGTGCTCAGTGAGTGCCTGTTATCTGTGCCTGTGCTCAGACTGTGCTCAGTGAGTGTCTGTGCTCTGTGCCTGTGCCCTGTGCCTGTGCTCAGACTGTGCTCAGTGAGTGCCTGTGCTCAGACTGTGCTCAGACTGTGCTCAGACTGTGCCCTGTGCCTGTGCTCAGACTGTGCTCAGTGAGTGCCTGTGCTCAGACTGTGCTCAGACTGTGCTCAGACTGTGCCCTGTGCCTGTGCTCAGACTGTGCTCAGTGAGTGCCTGTGCTCAGACTGTGCTCTGTGCCTGTGCTCTGTGCCCTGTGCCTGTGCTCAGACTGTGCTCAGTGCCTGTGCTCACACAGTTCACCCAGCTCACCCAGAGCTCACCCAGCTGCTGCTGCTGCCCTGGGGACTCTGAACCACAGCACGGTGTCTGCAGCTGACAGCCCTTGGCATGAACCTTCCCAGGGAAACAATGGCACCGCATCCATCCCTGGCAGCCCAGCTCCAGAGAGCTCCTGACGTGACCCAGCCCTCCATCCCCTCCATCCTCTGCCCCATCCTGCCCCACATCCCTGTGGTCCCTGCTTGACCCCAGAAACCTGCTCCCAGGCTGGATCCGCAATCTATGACATAAACAAATGGAGTTGAAGACACACAAAATAAACCCATGGCATGCGTGAAAGGGATTAAAGATGGTTCCTGAAACATCTGGAGGTGTATAATACAGTATGGATGGATCATTGTAGAGCATCCACAGGGAAGTCAGGCTGCTGGCACACGCTGGAGATTTTAGATGTAAAACCAGCTTGGAAGAAAGGGGAGCACTGGGAGGAGGTTTCTCATTTACACACACCAGTCCAGTTTCAGGCACTCAGCACTTCTAAAGAGACAAAAAAAAAATTCCCCACCAAAGATTTCTGTGGAAGGCAGAGCCCCTCTGACAACAGGTAGTTACTCACTTCAAAAACCCAATTTTCCATCAAAAAAATCTAACTTGAAAGGCGTTCCCAGCTCACTCAAGATGCGGGATCAAAGCCAGGGATTAAGTGCATCTGCTCACTGCTGGCTGCCCGGGAGCAGCCCCAGCTCACCGGTGACAGAGGGCAGAGGAGAGCTTCCCTCCACGGCCAAAATCACTTCAAACTCGTATTCAAAAGGGAAAAGCACGGTGTTCTGGCAACCTGCTAGGCTCCCCCAGATGGATTTGCCTGGCTGGCACAGGCTGGATCAGGGAGGAATATTCCAGGGTTTTAATTTCTCTGCCCAAGTTTTATTGCATGCAAACATACACGGTCATTGCTTTCGAAGGTTTCCAATTTGCTAATTGAGACATTTCCTCATGGAAAAAGAATGTTCTGGACTACAGACAGGGCTGCTGGCACTGCTCTGCACACAGGGGAGCTCAGGTGAGGATGATGAGATGGGAGACGGGCAGGCAAAGCCAGCCTCCCCAGGCCCCCCTTGGCGGCACTAACCCAAAGCCAAAGCTGGTGTCCTGGAAACACCCAGCACACCCCAACCCATCCCACTCCTCGTGCCATCAGGGGTGTTCAGTCCCTGCACTGGGCACCTCACAGCGGGCTCAGGAGAGTTTGGACAGGGAGGTGGGAAACCAGCCCAGGAAACTGGACATCTAGGAAGATTTCTTTCCAGGCACCAGTTTGTTTCAAAACAAGGAGGGAAAAAATAATCTGGTCTGCACAAGAAAAAAACAACCCGAGTGTTCTGCATTTTTGTTGGAGCAGTGAAGTATATTCCTTCTGCCCTCAAAATACATGAGAGTGGAGAGAGTGGTTTTGTTCTGAACATGAACAGGTCAAAGATCCAAGAAAAGCACTTTTGGGGCAGAATGAGCCTGGGGATGAAGGGAGAAAGGCCAGAGGAAGCAGCAGCTGAGAAAGGCGTGAGCAGGGTTCTGATGGGAACACGGCTGCAGCCACAGCCACGGCCTCAGCAGCGTGACCTCGGACGGGACCCGCTGTAGGCTTTTTTCACTTTAAAAAAAATAAGGGAGTGCAAAGTGCTTTGCAGGCTCATTCAGAATGCACGGGGCACGGAGGGGGATTTCAAACTTTATCTAGGTCAAACATCATCCAGGCAGGTTCACATCACAGCGACTGCAAGCTCAGCTCCCCCAGGAACACTGAGCAGCCTCGGAGCTCGGCGGGGCTCCCCCGTCCTTACCTTCAGCTTCTCGAAGCGATCGCTGAGCGACGCCACTTGGTGGTCCCGGTGGCGGCCCACCAGTTTACATAAGGCACAGATGAGCTGGTCGTCAGCCACACAGTACATGTTCACCTTCTCGTTCTCGTGCTCCAGGCACGTCAGCCCGCGCAGGTGCGCGTCGGGCACGGGCTCCACCAGCCGGTGGCTGGTGAAGGGTTTCTTGTTGGGGTGGGTGGCCCGCAGGCAGCGGTCGCAGTAGGACACCTCGCAGGTGATGCAGGTCTTGACGGCGTCGCGGGGCGGGTCCTGCTCGCAGAACTGGCAGGCGATCCTCTCGCCGGCCACGGACATGGTAGGGCTGCCGCGGAAGGTCCTCTCGCGGCGGCTCTCGCTCGGGGAGTTGGGGCCGCTCAGCGACGCCTTCTGGAAGCGGTCGATGATGTTCTGCAGGGTCACATTCCTCTTGAGGCCCTCCAGGCCCCGGTGGTTGAGGGAGATGACATAGCGGCACGTCGGGCACTGGAAGGCGGCGATGGGCTCGATGGACTCGCCGGAGGAGCAGCTGGACACCAGGATGCGGTGGGCACAGCTGAAACAGAGGCTGTGGGCACAGGGCAGCAGGAGGGGGTCCTCAAATAACTCCAGACAGATTGGGCAGGTCAATTCTGACTCCAGTGTTTCCATCTTTAGTTAACACAATCCTGATTCAGCATCAAAAACCAGGGAAGGTGGTCAGGAACCTGCAAGGGAGGAGAGCAGAGACGTGAGGCTACAGCTGCACTCCTGGGCTGCTCCTCTCCCCCAGCAGCAGGTTCCTGGGGGGTCGGTCACCCCCACAACACCCTGACACCGTGTCCAGCACAGCCTGCAGCTGTCTCACCCCATGTGGAGCACAGCCTGCAGCTGCAGCGGGGCAGCAGCCGAATGCAGGGGACGGGGGACGAGGAACAGCAGCTCCTCTGACAACTTCCAGCCCAGCCAGGGCAGGACCTGGACCATAAGGCTGGAGACAAAACCAGGGGAAAGCACATGATTTCGTGTTTGTGTTTGTGTGTGCTGCCAAGGGCCGTGCTGGCGTTCCACGCAGAAGGGCTGCTCTGCATGGCACAGATAAACTTCTTAACATCCCCTGCAGCTCCAGGCCTGCTTCTGCTGAAGGGGAAAAGGCAAATCAAGTCGTGGAAACTCTGAGCAGAGCAGGTTGGGAGCTCTTCACATCTCATCCTGCTCCCTGCTTTTCCTGGCCATTGCTTTTTGGAGCAGGGTGGGGAGGGCAGAGCAGCAAAATTATAGTCGGCAAACTTCCACTGCTGGCTGTCCTTTGCCGCACTCCACAACAGCCAGGGATGCCTAAATCAACTCCAGCTGGAGGCAAACAAGCTGTATTTTTAGCTCCCTTCCCTTGCACATGGCTGGAAACAGCTCCCAGCAGGCGACTCAACCTGCTGCTCCCAACTCGGTTTGGGGAGCGGCAGGAGCTGCACCCCGAGCGCTGCCCGGCCTCTGCCCAGCAGCTCTGAAGTGACACAGAAGCAGACCCAGCCTCTCCTCCCTCACCTGCCCGCTGTGGGGTCCCTGCTCGTGGGTGTGGGGAGAGCCCACGGCCACAGGGAGCCCTCAGCCCGGCCCTGCTGTGGGAACTGAGCCGTGGGGAGCACCGTGGTGCCAGCCCAGCCCTGCTTTCACCAGGAACAGCCTGCTGTGCTGCCCAGGCTCTGCTGGGCACCACAGGAAAAACCCTTCCCTGGGAGCCGTGCCCAGGGCAGCTGTGCCTGCCACATCCCTGCTCCAGGCCAGGCTGGAAGGGACTTGAAGCCACCTGGTCTAGGGGAAGGTGTCCCTGCCCAGGGCAGGGGACTGGAACTGGGTGAGCTTTAAGGTCCTTCCAACCCAAACCAGTCTGGGATTCAATGAGAAAGGGCTGTAAGCCAAGTGTAGGGGGGCAGCAGCAGGAGAGGGTCTGGCTGCCCAAAGCCCCAGGCTGCTGCCAGCACCTGCAAATGGCACAGGTGCCACACTGGGACCTGCCAGCCCTGTCCCACCCATCGGCTCCATCACCCCCACCACCTCCTCCCTGCTGGCTGAAATGGGACTGGCAGGTGCCTGGAGGAACCCTGAGCTCTTCCCTGCCCAAGGGGCTTACAAATAAATCCACTGGATATTTTGATACGTTCGTGCTGCAGCAGCTCTTGCTGGCCAAAAGCAGCCTTGCACACACATACACAGGTTTAAAATTATCTTTCTTTTCCCCAAGAGAGCCAGTGGAGAAGTCAGAAAGCAGAGGAGCACGAGGGCTCCCCGAGCTGCAGCCTGGCAGGATGAGGGGTCCCAGTGCTCCAGGCACCCCCTGGCACTGGGGCTGCCAAACCTCCTCGCTGTGCCGGGCACTGGGGACACAGCCTGGCCCTCGCAGCCCCAAACCCCACTGCACGAGCCCCTCCTGCCACCCCACATCATCCACTCACCCTCCCCAGGCAGCAAACACACAGATGGAAACAAAAAGAAAGGACAAGAACACGATTTCACAGCCTGACCAAGACTGGGGGAAGAATTTAAAGATCAGGATTGGTGTGAGAGGCTCCCCAACACCCTGCCAGCACCGGCTGTCCTGCGGAGCAGCATCTCGCACTCCCACAACATCCAACACCAGCCTTCACACACAGCTCCACTGCTACCCACGGGAAAACAACACAAGTTTAAACAGCCTTTGGTTTTGTTACCAAGGGACATTTGTACACTTATCTTGTTCTCCTCGATGGGACAACAGCTTTTACCTGTGACATATCCAAGGGGAGCCCCAGGCTGGGACAGCAGGAGCCCCCTCGGAGGCGTGGAGGAGGCACAGGAGCCTCCAGGGCAGGACAGAACAGGGACAGGAACCTGCTCCAGGGCAGGACAGAACAGGGCCAGGAGCCTCCAAGGCAGGGCAGAACAGGGACAGGAACCTGCCTGGGGGTGCAGGAGCCCCCTCGGAGGAGGGAGGGGACCCCAGCTCCACGATGCTGCACCTGGCAAAGCTGCCATGCTGCCAGCAGAGCCTTTCATGCCTCTCACTTTGATGTTCTCTTTGATGTCCAGGACTGACACAGCACAAGGAATAGCTGATTAGATTAAAATCTGCTTTCTTTAGAGTCATTAACTCCCTAAATACAAAAGTTATAAAATACTGTTTACAGACAGCCCCGTGTCACTCGTGCCCAAGGGCCAGTGGCTCTGTCCATGCTGGCCTGTGATGATGACTGCAGCAGCAGCAGCAGGTTAACAACACCTCACATCCAACCAAACTCTTCTGTGTTGATCTGAGCTTTGCCCAAAACCGAGGGAAAAGAGAGGTGGGGGAAGAAAACAATCAGGGACAAAACAGAATAAACAGGGAGGGCAGTGAAGCCCAGGGTGGGCAGAGCTGAGCGTGACGCAGGGCCAGTGCAGGTCCTCTGGGACACAGTGGCCACTGCTTTTAGCTCCAGCCTGGAGCAGCAGGAGCGTGCTGAGGGTACACAGGTTGCCCTTGGCGAGTGACACCAGAGGTTCTCGGATACAAAGGCTCCCCCACCCCTTCTCCCAAATTACAGGTTTCCCAATATCCCAGCAATATCCCTGCCTCAAGCTCATGGTTTGCCAGGAGATGCAGAGGTCTGGCACCAAGGGAAGGAGGAAGGAGAACCATGGAAGGAGGGATGCTGCCACATCACCCCACCCGTACCTGGGGACATCCTGGTGTTCATCACCTCAGGCCACAGGCAGCCAACCCAAAATTCACACTTTCCCCTCGAGCAACATCCAGGCCCCATTTTTACCCGGTTTTCCAAGTCTACATAAAAGTCCCTCTGGTCTCCCCCAGCACCAGCCCTGGGCAGAGTTTGGCCAGCCTTCAGTCCCACATCAGGACAGCCAGACCTGTCCAGACAAACATTAATTCTGCAGGTTGGTACTTTCCACACCAAGTATGATTATTATTTATTTCCCCTCCCCGTTTTTAACCCTGTTATTTTGTTTTCCTTCCCCTCCCCCCCAAAAAAGCTCCAGTTGAGATTGCTCAGCCCCTCCCAAGAATGAGGCTCTAGAAGAGCTATGCTGCTCCACCCGTGCATTAACGAAAAAAGTAATAAAATATGGCAACCCTTTCCTTAATTGGCTCGGTGACAGCAGGATACAAAATCTGGGCAGCAGTTGTCTCTGTGCTTTTTGTTGTCCTGGGGAAAATGAGTTCAAAGCTGGCTCAGTGCTGAGGGAGGAGGAACAGCCCGTGCAGCAGCCCCATCGTGCTGGAGGAGCCCAGCACAGCCCCCACGGCAGCAGGGAGCTGCAGCTCCAGGGGGAGAGGTCCCCCCTGCACCTCCCCAGCTCTGCCAATGCTCTCCTGCCAGCTCAGCCTTCCCAAACAGCTCCCCTGAACCTGCCCCTGGGATGGGATGTCCAGGAGAAACAGGGTCCTGCAAGGGAACACAGCCCCAGCTGCGCCACCAGCAGCAGCTTCTGACCCAAGGAGGGACAGGGGAGACCACAGGGCTCCTCCAGCCAGTTCACATCCACCATTACCTGTTTCTTCTGTGCTTTATTTGCATCAGCCGTGCACATTTAACAGCGAATTTGAAGCTCAAAGCTGCAGCCAGCACAGAGCATCCCTCAGCCAGGCCAGCACAGAGTGAGCCCTGGCCACATCACGGCCTCCACTGCTCCCTCCCAGCACACCTGAACACACCAGACAGAACTTGGCCTTTCCTCCCACCACTCCCACTGTAATAACTCCACAGATTTGTCTGAGGCTTTCTGAAAATCCCAGTGATCCATCTCCCAGCTGCCTTCCACGACCACTTTATTGCTGTACTAGAAAAGGAACACCACCTGCTGCAGCTAAACCGGATTCCCCCTATAACAGCCAGTCCCTAACCCATCAAACTGAAACACCATTTCCGTACCAGCTTTAATTATTTTCCCAGCCAATTTGCCTGGTGCTAAAGCAAGGTTGCTCCACGTAATTCCCACTGCTCTCGCTGCATCTCTTGAATAAGGACAGAGCCGGGAGGCTGCGCTCCCATGCAGCACTTCCCTTCAATGAGAGACCCCTGAGCAGTGCAGCTGCTCCATTCTTAAACCCTCCAGGAGCCACCAGAGCCCAGCAGGCACTGGCTGTCTGTGCTCTTTAACTCCTCCATTCGCACAGCACCTTATTCCCTCTGGGAATTTCACCTTCATCGCTGCCTTCACTGATGGGATGAGAACATTCTGCTCCATCACAAAATCCCCTCAACTCCTGAATGTCTCCTGTCAGGCTCCAAGGCTGGGAAGGGCTGTCTTGAGTTTCCTGCATGGGACAAGGATGCTCCATCTAAAGCCTACAGGGGACATTATGGGGCAATTCCCACTGCCACCCTGTGGGAACCTTCCCCTGCCATCTCCCTCCGTGGCCTGAAGGTTGACAGGACACAAAAGGCCCAGGGCACCCCTCCAGCCCCTCAGCTGTGGCAGGTCCCTGGAGCACAGCACGGCTGCCTCCAGTTCCTGGGGAAGCCACACGGCCCCCAGCACTTCCCTCCCTAACCCACAAAACCTGCAGCAGCCAGCCTCAGGCTCTGGCAGGTCACAGCCCATGGCAACCCTCCTTCCCACACACTGCATGTCTGTCCATCTCTCCATCCATCCATCCACCCATCCATCCATCATCCATCCATCCATCATCCATCCATCATCCATCCATCATCCATCCATCCATCCATGGATCCATCCATCCATCATCCAT